TGCTGCTGTTGCCACACGTCGGTTTACACTTCACAGAGCGCTGAGCTCTCTCAACTCATTGAATGTTCCGGGTCTCCGCCTACCAAACATACGGATCCTATTCACCGGGCGGGCTTTGCGCCCGCCCATCGAGTGGCCTTTGCTTGAGTGCGCCACTTAGCCACGATTTCTGTTGTCTGTTATCAGCCAGAGCCGAAGCCGCAGCCGAAGCAAAACCCAAGCCCAAAAAGCTTCATATCTATTTGCGTAATCAGAGGCCCGAAATAAAAAATCAGAAACAAAAACAAAAACAAAAAATCTTGACTTTTTAGTGAAATATAAGCAGAAGCTCACGAGCTCAGGCGACTGAGACGAAAATCGTGGCTATCAGGCAAAGATCTGCAGCAGCTGCTGCTGCTGCTGATGCGGATGCTGATGCTGATGCTGATGTGGATGTGTTTCTGGCTGCTCACATGTGTCGCAGCTTCGCACGCTTCAAGTGCACTCGAAGAAAATATATATCAAGAAAATATACATGCCTCCCTATACAGACATCTATATCTTTATTATTATATTTTTATTTTGAAGCTCGACTTCTTAAAGCACAAAAATAAATTTTAAAATTTATATATATTTTTAGCTGACTTTTAAAATATTTACTTCAAGTATAAACTCTTGCATTTTTTTTATAAACATTTTATTTCCAATTGGAGTCTCTTTAGAAATGAAGAAATAAAAATGTCATTATCTATCTATAACTTTGAATTTTTTATAAAAAAAATATTTCTAATTGGAATATTATTAGTTATAAATTTTCTATAACTTTTAATTTTTTAAATTTTATTTCTAATTGGAATATATTAAGTTATCATCTATCTATAACTATTTAATTTTTTTTTAATTTTATTTATAATTGAAATTTTTTTGGTTATCATCTAATCAACTTTTTAACTCAGAAATTTGTATGCTATAATATTTATTTATGCTAACATATTTTGCATATAATATTTAAGGTTGAGAATTTTAATTTTATGTCTCATTTTCTTATAAGCGCAACCAAAATTAAAGAAAATTTTTTACTTTTCTTAAGCATCTTTATAATTTATTTTTAGTATCCAAATACTAATTCGAAGTATTTAGCTAAATTCAAGACTTTTTATCCATTTATAAATTATTTGAGACTAAAACTCGTTACATAATCCCAATCAAGCAGAAACATATATCTCAAACTTTCGTCCACTTTCGTTAAGATTTTTTTACTCTATCTAAAGTCTTTGCTAACGTTCGTTAAGTAATTTTGTGCTCTTTGTACAACATGCGCCTGCTTTCTTTAAACTAAATACTAATATTCGTTAAGTATCTTTTTACTAAATTTAAAATATTCAATTACTTACGTTAAGTCATGTTTTATTCAACATAAAACTTCCGAACACTGTCATTAAGTTATTTTTATTTTTACTCTATCCCAAACATTCGTTCAGTTTCGTTAAATACTTTTCTAGTCTAAGTCATGCGCAGACTTTCGTTAAGTACTACGTGTCAAGCATTCGCTCACTTTTACTTAACTACTTCATCTAAAAACATTCGTATACTTTCGTTAAATATGTGTAGTCTCTATCTAAAACATTCGTTAACTTTCGTCAACTACTTTTTAAGCTATTGATAGATAATCTTACTTATCTTTTCATATAGATAATTCAAGATAATTCATACTCTATGTGTCACATCTAAATAATAAACCGCAAACAATAGCCCATTTATTTTCGCTCAGTGTACTGGGCAACGCCTCCGAAACAAGTGCAGCACAACAACAACAGCAACAGCAATAACAACAGAGCTGAACGATGTGGTTAACCCAGGCAGTCAGCCGGCGTTTTTAGGTATCGCATCGGTTTTTGGCTCAGCTCTGGGATTGATGTGCGCTATGTGGTGGGAAATAGTAGTGGGGCAGAGGGACACACGGACAGACAGACAGCCACAGCCACAGCCACAGCCAGAAGCCGAAACAGCGACAGCAACAACGACAACAACAGCAACACATCACATGGAATGACATTGAGGCTGTGGGTTCTCTGGACTGCGGTTCCAGCGTGTCCAGAGCGTGTGTGTGTGCGTGTGTGTGCGTGTGTGCGTTTGTGAGAGTATCAGATTTCGAGCGCTCGAAAAACATAATCATATATTAGGCGTTGTCACTTTGACATTTCGCCTGCTCTTTTACATGGCAATAATCATAATTCATTTTTCTCGCTTGCTCTCGCTCTCTCTCTCTCTCTCTGTTTCGCCTCATGTTGGCGCAATAGGCGCAAAAGGGGGCGTGGCAGGTTGAAGAGCGAAGGGCTCTGCGGCTCCACTTACAAAAATAAAGTGGCACGAAATGAAGGCATCGCCGCCACCGTCTTCGGCGTCGCCGTCGTCTGTCTGTGTCGCTGAAACAGTTTTATGAGCTGGTAGCCCAGGCCTTGCGTCGCCTCTCGCACGATGTTCAGCGCTGGCTGCGCTGCATCCATGTTTAATATTATTTATGGGGCTTACCCCTGGCACACACAAGGTATATCCACACATCTCGAGTGAGAGTCTGCGTCTGTGACAAACAAAAATCTCGGCGTCACATCCCAAATAATTTTCAACGAAATTGCGAATGGGAAATGAAAATGCGAGCTGCGAGCTGCGCCGCGCTCTATATAAAAACAAAAAAAAAAGAGAAAAATATGATAAATTTATATGGAATTGTTGCAGTTGGTTTGTCTTTCATTTTCATTTCATTTTCAGCAAAATGTGAGAATGACTCTGTTGAGCGAAGTTGAAGTGAAATGCGCCAATTATTTTGATTAATGTCAAAGAAATCGCGTGTCTTGAGCATTTGATGTTTCCTACTACCCAATTTCTGTGCCCCTGCCCTGCGCTCTGCAGTGTTGGGAAATGCCCGCGTACAGGGTTATCATTGTGTGGCACGAAGCTGCATGCACTGCGCGAAAAGGTGCGTTACTAAGGGTTAATCATTAATTTGTATGCACTTTGGAGCTTCTTTGATTGATGCATTTCAAGTGATTAATGAACTAGTTCCTTTAAATGAACTAGTTGCTTAAAATGAACTAGTGATCAGTGAAAGAAATAGGCAGATTCATGAACTAGTAAGCTGATTTAATGCTTAGTGAACTATGAAACAGTTCATGAACTAGTGAACTGCTTCATTCAACAGAGAACGATGCAATGTAATTGTTCAAAAGCAGCCAGTTCAAATGAACTAGTGAAAATGCTTAGTGATCTGTGAATGAGACAGTTTAAATGCTCAAAACTTAGTTCTTAAAATGAACTAGTTCATGATGCACTCATCAAAATGAGTTTTTGCACTTTATTCAAATGAACTAGTTAACTTGTGAATGAGATAGTTTTGTTGTGCAAAACGAGTCGTTAAAATGAACTGCTGAACGGATTAAGTGAACAATAAAGAGCATTAGTTCATAGCAACTAAATGAATTAATGAACTATTTTAGTTTAGTTCTACATAAAATGAACTAGTAAGGAATCTGTTTATGATGCATGTTCCTGAACTATTCAGTTTGTTCAAGTGTTTAGGAATCTTATGTTCAATTATGACTGAATCTTTAAATTATCATTTTGTTCACGAGCTGAACTAGTGAACAAAATTACTCAAAAAAATAAATTCATGAACTTATGTAGGAATTCCGATCATCTCTGACTATCTCTCTCTCTTTCTCTCGCTCCAACTCTTGCACATACAGCTCTCCAATCTGGTTTCTCTCAGTGTATTGCTTCGATCATTATGACTACTGCTGATTATCTTTGATCTGTCATTTTGCGAAAGTGAAAACAGTAGCGAACGCTCCAAAGTGATGCGCCGACATCGTTGATGCTTATTGCCGACTTCGACTCCAAGCTCGAGTCTGCTGCTGACGTTGACGATGAGTGGGCGTTTTGTTAACGGCTTCATTGTTTGGGTCTAGACTCCCAAAGATCTTGCCGCTGGCCATGATTGCTTTGGCAGACACAGTAGCTCGGCATACAGCATCCAGCTTCCTGCAGCCGGAAAGCATGTTATTAGTTGAGAGGCCATAATTTTGTCTGGCCAAGCGAAGATTATTGCCTACAAAACCTATACAAATATTGTACATATATATACATATATATACATATATATATATAATTTTTTTGGTCGCCTTCGATGTTTTATTACTATCATGCCATATAATTGTGAGCGCTGCTTAGAATTCTTTGGAGTCTGTTTTGCAATTTACATGCGCTATAAATTAAAGAATGTTGTATTTGCTCTATGATCGACTAAGAAAATACCCTGTTTGAAGATTATAAATATTTTAAACATTTTTTTCTTAAGCGAATCTCTTTGAAGTTCTACTTTTACCTTTAAAATTTCGTAAATCTAGCTTAAAAATTGTCAAAGCTAGAAATTTACATAATTCGCACTGCCCGTAGTGGGCGTGGCTTGCTATTGTCCCTCATTGCTGATGAAAGCATACAAGACCATGCTTTAAATCTGAATTCGCCTCGAAACGAATGCAGCGCGCAGCGAATATCTTATAATCTGATGATCTAATTGGATAAACATCAAACATTGTTTTTGTTATTGGCATAGTCGATAGACCAACTAATCTTATTGGATATTAGTATTGCCATGTAAATTGGCGGTTATTAGCTCTAATTGGCTGCAGAACGTTAAGCTATGTTAATAACGCTGCCAATATAAACTATCGATATCGTTGATAGACGAACGTAGAAAAATATTTCTAATTTGCAACAATTAAATATTAAATCATAAATTGTAGACTGCAAATTTTCCAATTGGAAGGAGATGCAATGGTCATTATAAATTTATGTGACGTACTTTGTTGTCTGATTAGAACTGTGCTTATTAACGGCATATGCATTGTAGACAGCATATACCAGTTGGATGCTCTTATATTCGACCTATTCATATTGGATTAATTTTATTAGAATAAGAATTTCGCTTTAATGAGTTTTTTCTCTGTTTTCTTTGCAGTTTTTTTGGCACACGCCGCTGTTCCCGCTGCCTGGCATCGATAAGCTCCAACGAGCTGGTAATGCGTGCTCGCAATTTAGTTTTTCATGTTAACTGCTTCTGCTGCACCGTTTGCCATACGCCACTAACCAAAGGTGATCAATATGGCATTATCGATGCGCTAATCTACTGCAGGTGAGTGCCAATTGCCAATTGCCAATTGGGAAAAAGTGTTTGCTAATCAGTTTCCGTTTCCCATTTGTATCTGTGGCAGAACTCACTACAGCATAGCGCGCGAGGGCGATGCTGCATCGTCGACTAGCATGAGCGCCACGTATCCTTATAGCACACAGTTCGGGTCGCCGCACAATGATTCATCGAGTCCGCATTCGGATCCCAGTCGCAGTATTGTTCCTACGGGCATTTTTGTGCCCACATCGCATGTTATAACGGGCTTGCCGCAGCCGGCACGGCAAAAGGGCAGACCGCGCAAACGCAAGCCAAAGGATATCGAGGCCTTTACAGCTAATATAGGTACAGTAAAGACATAAAAGTGAAGAACCAGCCAACAGACATGCATACACACACATACATATATATACACATAACGCATGTATGTCTCGGAGCACTTTATGGCTGATCCGTAGCTGGCGCCAGTCCCCATAAAAAAACCCATCGTAAAACTGAGCTGTAAAATCTTATATCTCCCACTCTCTCTGTCTCTCTCTCTCTCTCTCAGATCTCAATACGGAATATGTGGACTTTGGTCGTGGCAGCCACATGAGCGCCTCGTCGAGAACTAAGCGCATGCGCACCTCGTTCAAGCACCATCAGCTGCGCACCATGAAGTCCTACTTTGCCATCAATCACAATCCCGATGCAAAGGATCTGAAGCAATTGTCGCAGAAAACGGGCCTACCAAAGAGAGTGCTGCAGGTGAGCTGACCTTAGAGATGGACATAATATACTAGACATCCACAAAATACTAGAGATCATAGAGATGAATGATAATATACTAGAAAAAAATAAAAAGATACTAAAAACTTAAATACTTAAAAATATTTTAGTATTTAAAATACTTTTAATACTTCAAATAAAAAACACCTAAAATAATATTAATTCCAAGAAAAATTTAAAATGATTTTATTGCTTAAGATACTAAATATACTTAACATTATTAAATACTTTTAATACTCAACATTTTTAAAATGCTTAAAATATTTAAAATACCTAAAATACATAACAAACTTAAAATACTTAAATTGCTTAAAATGCTTGTTTCTAATACTAAAATATTAGAATATTTTTAATACTAAAAATACGTTATGTACCAAAATGACTTAAAATACTCTTTTTAATACTAAAAAATACCCAAAATACTTATACCTAAAATTCTGAGAAAATACCTAAAATACTCAAAATACTTACAAATTCTTGAAATACTCAGTTACTTAAAATACTTTTAAATCATTTTAATACTAAAAAATACTAAAAATACATAATTTCGACCTAAAATCGCCCAATCCAATGCCACGTCCATTCGCTGTGTCTCAAGGTGGAAAATAAATAACTATATTTTCCTAGATATCTATAAGATCTAAAGATATATACTGAAAATAAATACTATGCCTAAAACATCTTCTCATTGTCTTTTCAGGTTTGGTTTCAAAATGCTCGCGCCAAGTGGCGTCGCATGATGATGAAGCAGGATGGCAGTGGGCTGATGGAGAAGGGCGACGGCACCTTGGATTTGGATAGCATTTCGGTGCACAGTCCGACGTCGTTTATGCTGGGCGGTCCGAACAGCACGCCACCGCACAATCTCGACTAACAGCTGTTGGAGCGGGAGCAACTAAATGCAACGGCGGCTGCTGCGGCGGCGGCGGCGGCTGCTGCAGCTGCAGCCTACTCCATAGAGCTGCAATTGCTGCAGGCGAGCGGCAGTGGATCGGCGGCTCTATTAACGTTGGCGGACCTGTTCAACGCCAGCAATGAATAGCTTCAAATTAAATACTCAAAAAATATGGTAGAGGAGGAGGCGGTAGAGGAAGAGGAAGAGCAAGAGGAAGAGAAGATAATGTTGTTAGACGAGAAGTGGCAGCAAGTTGGCATTAAGTATTTTTGTAGTGTTGCATCTAGAAACCAAATCAAAATTCCAAATTTCGCTCACTTATCAAATTATTGTTTTTTTTTAATACCCTGTAGTTGATGATATTGGTAGGGTATATTGTTGTGGTACACGTATTTATTAGGTAGAGTAAGACGTGGCAGCGCCCGAGCATATTTATATTTGCCACGTCTATTAATTTATTCGTTTGCCCCTCTAAACGTCGGTCTGCTTCTACGTCTCTTTGAACGCTTCTAACTCGAGTACTATAAGAGCTATACCATTGAAATTTTCCATGTATATTCTTGTATACCAGACGTAGCTAAACAATACTATATTTTTTCAATAACTTTTACTGATTCTATTATATCGATAAATATCGTTATGTTTACTAGGTTTTCCATGGCTAATTTGAGTATCCCACAAGCTAGCATTACTAAATTTGGTATGTAGACTCTTGTAATGAATACAAAATTTTCGAATTCTTTAGATTTTGAATAGCTCAAACCAAAAGCCTAAAAATCGAAAAAATATACATTTTTTAAAAAAGTAGAAGCTTGAGCTTGAGGTTATATGTAAACGTTTATATATAAGATTTGCTTTGACTTCGTTCAACTAGAGCCCAAGTTATAGCTTGGTATAGCTCCCCCCAGACTACAGGGTATTTACTAGTCGTGCACTGCCGACTAGCGTCTTTTACTTGTTTACTCTTGCTGGCAAGTCTCAGATCCAAAATGTTGTTTTCTATATATCAAAAACAAAAAAGTAAACAAAAATTCATTTGTAAATATTGATAACTAGAAACTTAGCAAACATATTGTTAATACTTATTATATATATATATATACATAAAATATATATAGATACATGCACCTGGGCATATATATATAACTAGCATACGCATTAAATAAACAAATCTAATATATATATAAATATATATAAATATAAATTTAATATTTATTGCCCGAAACATTAAATAGTTAGAGATGAATTTAGTTTAACGAAGCGCTCTAAAACATATATATATATATATATATATCTGATCATATATATATGTATATACACATATGTATGTGTCTGTCGTAGTATTACGGTAATTTAGTTGCTTGATGAAACGCTGATGAGCAATGCAAAATGCAATTGAAGCAAATTTGTACTTACAAATAATTTAAAAAATAAGTCCTACCATAGAAGCCAAATAAAAATTATTAAAAAAAAATAAAAAATAACTGATTTTATTTAATTAAATTAATTTCTTCTAACTAAATTTCACTGTCTTAATCACACCTAGCTTAGACATGACCCATAGCTGGCTAAAAGCAACAGTCAATATAGGTCCGACACATAGGTGGCGCCACTAGTATAATTTTACTTTATGCATTTTCAATGCTTACTTGATCTGAACTTATGTTAAAAGTTAATATAAGATAATAATAATTTAGTGCTTTTAGCAGAACTATTTCTAATTTTCATAATAAATCAAAAATATTTGCAGTTTTATCAGAGAAATAACTTTTGAGGTCATTTTTAAAGCGCTTAAGTTTATGCATTCTGCTTTTCTGATATCTACTTGGATATTCTATAAGTTTACTGAACCATAAACATTAGTTTTTATACCAAATATCAGGTGTATGCATACATAGAAACAAGTGAAATTCTAAACCAAAGGATCGTATGCTATATAAGCCTCTTTTTGACTTCATTTTTAGAGCTCTTCGTTGCTCTGTGAGCAAACAGATATTTCCTTTTTGCACATATAGCTATAGATACCTTCTTTTACAGCACATAGCTATATAGTCTTCATTACCTACTATAACTTATGCTTACAAAGGGCTCAAATGATGAGAAAAATTTATCTAAAATAACAAAAGTTGTAAGAAAAAGATCGACCTAGTTACGTCCCTAAAACTTAAGACGACATCAAAATCCACTGATTCAGAATATCTTAATTTACAACATTTAAAAAAAACTGAAACTAGACTCAAGTGACAGTTTTTCGATTTTGAAAATTTTGACTGAAAAACAAAAGAAATTTAAAAATATTTCGTTTAAGTGAAAAATAATTTATTACAAAACATTATAAATTAATTAAGAGTGAGATTGTTGATTTTCTGTGTGTGTGTGTGTGTGTGGTGTGTGTTTTTTGTGTTTGTTTGTTTGCTAGCAATGCCGCTTTTACAACAAAATGAAATTAGTTCCAAAAATACATGCAGCCGAAAAATAATATAATTATGTATAAAAAATTTAGATTCATTTCATAAAATTTTCACCTTTTTGTGATCTGTTTTTAGTTGCTTACTTAGTTGGCTAAATACAATTACACAAAAATAAATGTCTTTTATATGTGTGTGTGAGTGTGTGTGACTGTGTCTGCGTCTGTGTGTGTTACACGAGTAAAAATTTACAAACTCTTTTGTTGCTTTCTTTTGGTGCACAGCAAAAATGATTTAACACGAGCAAAAAACACGCAGATAAGGCAAATTTTATAAACAATGCACGACGAGCCGTTAACGATTGTTGATTACTTTCTATATATATATATATATATATATATATATATATATATGAGATAGTTTTGTGTAGATTTGTTTGTTAGATTTGTTAGGTTTATATATATATATATATTGAATGGGTAGCGATAATATTGCCGTTCGTTGTGACACAATTCCACATCAAATATTACGCAATATTTATGTATATATATAAAGTATATATATATATACATAGTTAGTTGGGACTAGTTAAGGATTAATTCAACTAGGAATATCTAAGTATTTTGTGTGTGTGTGTGTGTGTATGAGTGAGTGAGTATGTGAGTTATTTTTTTAAATTTGTATATGTATATAACTAGAGAGCATGTGGTTTTTGTTGTATCAATTCAGCACAATTCAGCTGCTGTTCTTTACGGCAATGTTCACTGTATCACCAATGGTATCGCTGCTGTTTTTTACGGCAATGTTCACTGAATCACCAATGGTTGCCTCATCATCACAGGCGGCTTGATTTTTGGCTGCTGCTAATTGTTCACGTCGCTGACGTTTCATTTCCAGCAATTGTTTGCGTTGCGCCTCACGTTTCATGGCCGCAACAGCATTAGAGGGTCCAACTGCGGCCGCCGCAGTTCCTTTCGCTTTCGAATTGCCAGTCTTTAAAATTATCTTTGTTGTTTTAGCGGGCGCCGATGATTCCAGCCGGGGCTCAACAGGGCGCTACAAGCAACGCGCATATATATTAATATATATAACTTGTTTTGCAAACTGTAAAGCATTGACTCACCTGCCAATCATTACGCTTCAATTGCTCAATATCGGTAAATATGGTATCCACATGCGTCACCTGCAAATAGACCATATCCCAGAAGCCCTGTAAATCATCTAAAGTTGTGGGAAATGCATCCTCCGGCGAGCGATTCAAATTGTTGTGACACAGACCTAAAAGAGTCAAACAGAAGCTTTAGGTTTATAGTTTATTATAATTGAGAATTTAGGAGTATATAGAATGTATAAAGACATGCATGTATATAGCCTTGAGATTAGCCAAACTTAGGACTTGATTTGCCGTGTCATACTCCAGCTTTTGACCTTACCCTCAAACTGTTTCATCTTCTGTGAGGCCAGAAGTCGAGCCTTGCCCGCAGCTGAGCGGAGCAAGCCAAATGTGTCCTCGGTTATATCAGGATTGTTCTGCAAGGTTTGACATTATCAATGAGCAATTCAGTACCATATATACATCATCAACTCACAGCCAAAGCATCTAAGTACTTTTCGGCAACGGCGGCCAGCGCTAACAGACGAATCTGTTCATCTTTGAGTACCTTCAGGAAATAATTGCCATCTTTAACAACATCCGTGTTCACAACTGGAGTCAGCTGAAGCTCAGGTCCATTATCCTTGCCAGCCGCAGCAGCACGTATCTTGGTGGTGCTCATGTATTCCTCGCTGCTCGTTAGCTTCACATGATCCACTTCATCATCGTCATCAGTTGGCAGCGATGAAACACGCGGAACGCCTCGCTTCGGCGACACCGTCGGCAGTTGGGCACGAAATTCATGACTCAAATGACGAAAGACAGGCAAATCCGTTTCGCCATTCTGTGTGATAGCCTGGCTATTGTTGCTCGTGCTGGCGGCTGGTTGCTCGGATTGCGAACGCGTGCAATTGCTCTGCAGTTTCTTGCGAAACTCTCCATAGTCCTTGCTGGGCGACAATTGCTTAAATTTGCGAGACAGCTCCGTGGAACTAGGCGAAGTCAGTTGCTGCTGCTGTTGCTTTGAAGGAATTGAATTTTGCTTTTTGGGACTGTAGAATCCCTGAGCCAAGGCACCCGGCCCGTAAAGCCTTTCCACGCGCTGCTGTATAAAGCTGGTGGTTGCAGACGCCGATTTACTCGGCTCACTGCCATTGCAATAGGCCAAGTCTCCGTTCTCCAAGCCATGACCATTTTTACTGCTGCTGTTGTTATTGTTGTTTGTTTCGTTGTATTTGCTAGCCATGTTGCCCGTTGTGGCAGGCTGTTTAGTTAGCGGCATTGTATGCAACACAGGCGCTGCGAGCGAATTGTTGCGCTTGCAATATTGCAGGCTGCTCGTAGATGGACGTATGGGTGAGACTTCACGTGACTTATTGATGTCCTGGCGTATTTTCGAATCGTAGGTGGTTAAATTTGAATAGCCGTTAACACAACAGGCTAAATTCAAATAGCTCGGCTTCTTTTCCACAGCATCCACGATGATGCTGCTGCTGCTGTGTTGTTGTTGCTGCTGCAGTTGTTGTTGATCCTGTGTGCCGACATCGACTAGGTCGCTGGTGGCAGGCGGTGACAGCACCATGCGAACACCGCCCGTACTTTGATCCAGATTGACGTAGGCTTTTGTGGTGAATGAACGCTGCACCTGCAAAGGCAGTGGCAGTTGCTGCTGCTGCTGCTGCTGCTGCTGTTGTTGTTGTTGTTGTTGTTGTTGATGTAACTGCTGGTGTTGTTGCGGCGAGCGCAGAGTGCAACGTTCTTTAATATTCGCCGTAAATTCACGTGTTATGTCCTTAACTGAAAGCGGAGTGGGAAAGTTTAAGCTGCCGCTGGTATCTGCAATAAGTTTGAAAGTTTAATAAATGCAAATTAAGAGAAGAGAGAAATAAAACAATAAAAACACAACAAATAAAAACTACAAAAAACGGCAAAAGAAAAAAGAAATCCATGAACAGAAAACAAAATAAAATAAAAAAAAAACAAATACACAACATTGAGGTTAGGTGCGCGTGCGTGCGTGTGCGTTTGCGTGTGTGTATAGGTATACCTGATATATCGGATGAATCGGCATCAACATCTAATGAACAGCTGCCAATGGAATCCAAGCTGCGATCCATGGGAAGTGCTTTCGGCTGCTAAAGTCGAAGTCTTTCGTTTTCTCTATTTTGTATTGTGCACTTTTCTATTAATTTATATGTACTATACATAATCAAAAGTCGGTAGCAAATATTAATAAAAAATAAATAAGAAAAAAAAAAACAAACAAATTAAGACAAGTAAATCAAACTAAATATCCAAAAATCATTTAACTGTAAGAATCTTGTACAAAAATGAGCGCCCACTGCGCTTGATTCCGTTGTTGTGTTCATTGGGAATGGCGTGCAAAAGAGAAATGCAGTAATTTGTAATCGTGGAAAAGAGGGGGAAAAGCATGGAAACAAAAACAACAGCATAAGCCTAATGGGCGATGGCTCTTATATTATTTTCGCCTTATATGCAAAGCGGAAATTCTGCGCGGCGAAACGGGGCGAAATATCAGGCTGCAGATCGTTTGCCCGTTTTGGACAACGTCAAGGCGACAAATCATGTATAACCGAGCATGAGGGTGGGAGGCAAGGCAAAAATGTCTGCCATAGCAGACGGCAAATAAATAACAACAAAAAGCAGCACAAGCACCAGCAGCAACAATCGCAGTCGGTGCCGTTGCTGAGCTTTAGAGCTGCGCGCTATTTGAAGTTTGCTTTTGTGATACCCTATATTGTAGGGCATCTGGTTATTGTTATTATTTTGTTACGAATTGTCAAGAAATCAGATACGTTTGTTTTTACTACAAGAGACTACATATGTAGGTTTCCAATATCATATAACTCGCTCTGCAAAAATAAACATGTTGCAGGTGTCGTGCTTTAAGCTGTGGCATAACCGTAATTTCTCGTTTTCATTGGAATACGACCACTTTAACATACAACTGGCTTAGAAACAATAAACATGCCAAAAATAGGGTGTTTAAACTTCGTCATAACTGTTATTTCTGGCTGTTTCTTTTCTTTAGTCTTTGGTCTGCGCCATATTTGTTGCTGCTGCTGCTCAGTCGGCAGCTTAAAAGCTGGGAGCAGCTCTAACGGCACCGACTGACGTCCACATTTCCAGTTCCGCTTTGCTAACTTTTCGCCGTTGTTTAACGTGTAGTTGTTGTTGTTGTTCATCTTGATGAACGCAGTTTGTTCTTTTTCTTCCAAGTCTAATTCCCATAACATGACAGAGCTTGGAACTAATTACACAAACAAATAATTGGCAGCAACAACAGCGCCCCAGGCAGCCAACTCCGGCAGAGAAAGAGCAGTAACAACAACAACCAAAACGCCAACTATTTATAATCCCGTCGCAGAGAGACACCAAAAAGGGGAGCAAAGTGAGAAACCGAGCGACACGTTAAACGGCAAGACACAGTCACAGAAAAAAACATGACTATGCCGCTCTGCAGCAGCAGCGGCAGCGGTCGCTGGTATTTGGAGTCAACAGCCACACAACCACAGCGGCACGCAATATGTTCTATTTTAGTCGCTGAAATTTATTATAATGAGTTTACAAAACGAATACAATGCGGCCCAAATGGCTGACACGAGAAAAGGATAAGTCCTTTGAGTGAAAGTTACAAATATGTAAATTTTAGCACAAATAATTTAACTCAGAAACACACTCACATATATATATATATATATGTATATATAATAGACATACATATGTATATAAAGGCAGACTCACACACAGAGCTTGACAAATGCACACGCCACACAAACATATATATACACAAAGATGACAGCACTGCAACTACAGAAAACGGTACACGCACACATGTACACTGTAATTAATAAACAAGCTACACCCACACACTGCTGAAACACACACCTCTGGCGCTCCGTTTCGTCTTGCACTAGCTGTTGTTTTTCAATTTTTGAAGCGTTTATCAGCTTTGTGACATAATTATAAATGCAATTAACTCGCGAATGTGTCGACTACTGCAGCGTTTGCGTTTGCCTTTTTATCTTAACTGCGGCAAATGACGGCCGATACAATGTGGCGGTCGGTCGATTTGTGATCGCTTAGGTATGACACTGTCGTAAATATCGATAGTCGAGTGATTCATCATTGGGAATTATAAATTTATAAACAAAGATTTGCTTTATTCACTATATAAATAACATTAAATTAATTGATTTTTAACTAATTTGTTGTAATACTTATGTATTGTTAATATTTGTTGTGTACATCATGTGATAAAAAAGCCGGTATATTGTGCACTTGTTTACTCGCACTCGCATAACTTGTTGACTCTCAGCAGGCTATTCACACGCACGCACACAAACACAAACTCTCTCTCTCTTACACTCTCGGATGTACATAGAAGTTCGTACAATGTATGTACGCCAGTTTTCTTTCTTTCGCACATCACGTTCACTAGTCATTCCCACTTTAGAAGCCGAAACGGGAAGACGTTTGAAATTCCGGTGCAAATCAATTAAGCCTGCAACAGGAGTCGTTTCTAATTTGCATAGTTGCAGTCAACCAAAAGTTAAAGCAATGGCGTCGCTACCCACTGAATTGAAACAGTTATTTGAGTGAGTAAAGAAAAGATCCGCAAATATCTCTATGTGCGTGTGAGTATGTGTGTGTGTGTTTGTGCTTGCCTTTGTTGGATGCGGGATGGCGATGCCACGGCTGCATACTTATATGTATGTGAATATATGTATATATGAATGTATGTATATATATCCTGCTTATCTGCTTGTTTGTGGAACTTTCATGCTATATGCTTGATAATAAGGGCGGCACTAGCGATCGCCGATAAGAGTTGTTTTTGTTTTTTAGCAAAAGAAAAGAAAATAAAAATGGAAAGTGCACGTCCATAACAATTGTGATTTGAAAAATTGCACTAAGTAACACAAAGCCATAAATATTATATTTCTCATTAGTTTCACGTATTCGTGTTTTGCAACAATTCAGTTTTTTGCATTCAGCAGGCGACGATAGAAAATGTACACAAAAGACAACAACAATAGCAATGTCTGCTACATATACATATGTTGTCTTCCAATCAGAATTGCACCAATAGGATAAAATAAGATAACAAAGCCGAGCTAAACTGAGTTTTAATACTCTATAATTTGGCATATTAGAGAGAATTTTACAATTGAAATATTTGTTGAGAATATATATAGTATAGATATATGCCTAGAGTAAGTTTTAATTGTTTATTAAAATATACTCTAATAAACAATTTTATATAACATCTAATTATAAATTAGATATTATAGTTTTTAAATATTTTTTAAAGTTCTTTTTTTTATATATATTTATATATAAATATATTTATATAAAAATATATGTATTATAAATAAAACAGAATTCTTTTTATTTTGGAAATCGCTTTAAATTTGAGATTTAATATTATAATATTTTTCATTTTTTGTTTTCGAAAAATGAATTTACGATTGCACATTTTTTATATGTAAATAAATATTTAATATTTTTTAATTAAAAAAATGTTTTTTTTTTATTAAATTTATTTATATTTATTCATTTTTATTATTTGTTTATTTATTTGATAATGTATTAATTTATCTTTATTAAATGTATTTATATGTCCTCAACTTATTTATTTTATATTGTTATATTATTAATTGAACTAAAGTTTTAAAAGCCTTAATTTGTTTTAATTTAAATCATTTTATGCAGAAGCATTTTCAAAAAGAAACGGAAAAAACTACAAATGTTTTTGGAAATATATTTTAGAAACCATAAAAAAAATTTTAAATGAAATGAATATTCAAACTTTGAGAATATTCAAATTGACGAAGGTATTTACTATTTATTTATTTATTTATTTATTTAATTATTTACTACAATACTTAAAACTTTAATTAATAATATTAAAGAATTATCAAGAAAATTATTGTAATAATTTGTGTTCTCTTTTTAAAGTAGTCTGTGGCTAGTTCTAGTAACAGAAAACTTTCTAAAATAGTTCTTAAAGTTAAGATAACATAGCTCATAAACCATTTTCTGATTAGATTGCAACGTGTGAGCTTTATATTGCAGTCTAATCAGAAACCGAGTTAGTATAGTAACCACGAAGATTAGCAGCGCTGAGGGGTTAAACCGCAGACTTGATTGTTCTATTATCAGCATATTTGACACGGCATATATATTTATCTATATACATTTGTATTATCAGCATATTTCACACGATATATATATATATTTATATAATTTATCGTCTTGCAGTTTTGTCAATGGCAAGAAGTCTGACTACATTGAGACCCTGAGAACTGCTGTGGCCATTCAATCCGTGTCGGCCTGGCCGGAGAAGCGTGGCGAGATCGATCGCATGGTCAATTGGACCGCTGATAAGCTAAAGGCATTGGGCACACAGATCGAGCTGGTTGATCTGGGCAAACAGAAGTTGCCCACCGGCGAGGAGATCCCATTGCCCAAAGCTTTGCTGGGCACATTGGGCCAGGACAAGAGTAAGAAAACAGTGCTGGTCTATGGCCATTTGGATGTGCAGCCCGCCTTGAAGGAGGATGGCTGGGATACAAATCCCTTTGAGCTAACCGAAATCGATGGCAAGCTGTTCGGACGTGGCGCCACGGACGACAAGGGTCCCGTGCTCTGTTGGATTCATGCCATCGAAGCTTACCAGAAGTTGAATATTCCACTCCCATTGAATCTGAAGTTCGTTTTCGAGGGCATGGAGGAGAGCGGCAGCGAGGGTCTCGATGATCTGTTGATGGCACGCAAAAACGATTTCCTCTCAGATGTGGATTACGTTTGCATTTCGGACAACTATTGGCTGGGCAAGAAGCGTCCCTGCCTGACCTACGGACTGCGTGGCTTGGCCTACTTCCAGGTGGAAGTGGAGTGCGCTACCAAGGATCTGCATAGCGGCGTCTTTGGCGGCACAGTGCACGAAGCCATGCCAGATCTGTGCTACCTGTTGAGCACTCTGGTGGATAAGGATACAAATATCCTTGTGCCTGGTGTGGATCGTGATGTGAGTGAAGTTGCCACTGTCCAATCTGCCTCTAATCTATATATAATCGGTTCCTAGGTGGCTGCCCAATTGCCCAATGAGGAGGAAATCTACAAGAACATCGACTTTGAAGTCAATGAGTACAAGTTAGTTCATCTAATCTAATCTGATCTAGCATAAATCACTGAGCTTACAACTTAATCTGTTTTTAGGAAAGACGTTGGCGTCGAACACCTGCCCCATAGTGGAGATAAGACTCGCCTGCTGCAGGCCAGATGGCGTTATCCCAGCTTGTCCATTCATGGCATTGAGGGTGCCTTCTATGAGCCTGGTGCCAAGACCGTAATACCAAAGAAGGTCATTGGCAAGTTCTCCATTCGCCTGGTGCCCGATCAGGATCCCAAGCACATTGAGCAGTGCGTTCTCAAGTATCTCAACGACAAGTGGACAGAGCGTGGATCGCCCAACAAGATGAAGGTGCTTAGCAAGGGAGGGGAAAATTAATGGCAGGGAATATTTTATAGATTTAGAATGTGGATAAGGAAGATGCTGAGATATAGACAATGTGACAATAGAAGATGTTTAGTTCTAGAAGATGCTTCCATGCGAGGGCTTTATATAAAAACTATTGTTACAATAGGACTCAAATTGAGATACTTCTTAGTTTGCTTAATATAATGAGAACAAGAAAAGAAACTATTCTATGTAACTGTAGATATATAATAGGAATTGAAACTTTACTTAGGAGGTTTAGCTAAGATTAAGAAGGAAAATATTTGTTTAGAGTATATGTCCGTCATTAGTCTTATCTGTTCAACCATTCAATCTCCCCAACAGGTTGTCATGCTGTCCGCTGGCAAGCCCTGGACAGAGGATCCCAATCATCCGCATTATGAGGCCGCTAAGCGTGCCATCAAACATGTCTTCAATGTGGATCCCGATATGACACGTGAAGGTGGCTCCATACCTGTGACCCTAACCCTGCAGGAGGCCACTGGCAAGAATGTAATTCTGGTTCCAGTCGGCGCTTGCGATGATGGTGCACACTCGCAAAACGAGAAGATCGACATCTATAACTATATAGAAGGCGTAAGTATATGCTTAAATACTCTTATACTCTCTCTCTTATACAACTATTTTATGTTGCAGACCAAGCTATTGGGAGCCTATTTACATGAGGTTGGCAAATTGTAAAAGTCGAAATGGAATTCTGAACCATTATACACGATGCAACATCACAAACGAATATTAACAAATTCTATATATTGAAATTTTTTTTTAAAGTTTGCTTATGCGTTTTATATTAAATAAACAATTGCATTTAGAGAAGAGTTTGCTAAACTGATTCAGAAATGGCTCACAGACGCTTGAGGTTTCACTCAAGCTAAGGCTAGCTTATACTCTTACTCTTATACTTGCTCTCTTATACAATTCTGCACATAGAGGGAACATAGTAAACGAACATTGAAAAATGGCAAATCTTTTTGCTTATAGAATTAACATATTTTAAACTTCTGTGTATTACGCCTTGTATTGTCAGCGTTTAAATTAACATTTGCAGTAAGTGTAAGAGGCTGCTCCGCATTCAGAAGAGAAAATTCTGTTAATCTGTCCATGAATCGCCATATTTGTTCTTTCTGCCCGGCATTGGCTCTTGAGCCAAGGGTCGTTGATGTAGCTGCGGCTGCTGCTGCTGCTGTTGTTGCGGTATAGGCGCTTCGTAGGGCCTTGAATAAGCGCTCTGTTGATGCTTTGTATACTCCTCGCGATTCTTGCGACGCAAATCCTCATAGCTTTCGCCGGGCTTTGCGGGCTCCAAAGGCAGTTCCGTGTCGACCAAAGTGCTGGCAGCTGTTAAAAGATACATCAGATTTCATTATAGGTTCAGACAAATAATCCTTAATGCTCACAATCCAGTGTAGGCCTGTAGATATCATCCAATCCAGAAAGATTGGGCCGCGAGTCCGTATCCAAATTGAGAGCCGTATTTCTCGATGGCTGGAATCCTTCATCGGTATAAACGTCTGCGGAGCTGGGCGTAAAGGGCGCCAAAGTGAAAGCACGTCCCAGATTCTCATCCGGTGTTATGGAGTTAATGACGCCGCCGCCTTGCCGCCGCTGTCGCAGAAGTTCACCCAGTCGAGAATTGGGTAAACGCATAATTTTCTCTGCACACTTCTGCTGATAACTGAATTTGCCCACGAAATAGCCGAGAATGACGCCCAAAACAACTTTGGGCACCGCACCATATTTGCCATTGCCCTGAATATAGCCATTTTTAACGCCAAAGTAGGCCAACAAACCCAGCCCGGTGCCGAAAGGCAGCGAACGTTGCACAAATGATTCCTGATTGCATTCACGTAACGCTTTCAGCTCTTCTGGACTGAAATGATAGTCCGCCTGCAACAAAGGGATAACACAGTTAGAAATGTAGGTGAATTAAGTTAGGCTAGCTAACCAATGGATGCTGATTGGGTTGCGTGGGCTGTTGCGGCGGGCTGCCATCATTTAGTTTCAGATCCATAACAGTTATTGAAATTTTAGAATAAATTCACGAATCAATCGCGATCAGTCGTTCGACCTGTAAAGACGTGAATTCGAACAGCCTTCGCTTAAGCTCTACTGCTGCAGAGTTCTAAAAATAGAACTTTGCGGTGCATTCTTCAACGCAACAGCAACAAAAACCGCACACGCAGCGTTTTCTTATCGCTTGCTTCCGCGTAACTCAATTGCTTTAATTGCAATTTACGAAATTTCGTCGCTTGGCGCGAGTGCGCCTGCACTCAAAAGCACAATCCGCGATGACATCTAATGTCAATAACCTCGCTACAGCTGTAAAGGTAAATGCAGAAATGCAAGCCCAGCTTAACGTTGTGATGGCAAATAGGCAAGCCTCCATCATGCCAATAAACTCAAAAATAGATATCGCCTCCGTGCAAGGCATCACTAACAACAAAAACACGAAACGTAAACAGCCAAATTCACCAAAAACCATCAAGAAAAGGCTCATCTTCGACGAACCAAGCACCAGCAATGCAGCATTAATATCAGAAAATCGATTTTCACTGCTCGTAGAAGAAGATGAAGACTACAGCGAATCACCTGTAGCTCCAGAAGCCCCAGTATTGACCGACCAGCAAACTACTCCGAAACCTCGTCCGCCCCCCATATGGTGTCCAAACATCAAGTCTGTGGCCCTACTTCAACAGATAATAGATAAAGTAATTGATGCTAAATCATACGTAATTAAGCCAAAGAAGAATAACATAGGTGTATTAACCCAATGCAGTGAGGACTATCGCAGAGTTATAGACCACTTTACTAAGCTGGAATTGGAGTTCCACTGCTACCAGCTTAAGGAGGACAAACCATATAGAGTCGTGTTCAAAGGGCTTCACTCCAGCACTGATACAACACTAATTAAAAAGGAATTGGAAACCAAAGGCCACACAATTACAAATGTGCACAACCCACTGAGCCGTATGGACAAAACACCGCTAAATATATTTTTTGTTGACGTGGCTCAGGCCCCCAACAACAAAGAAATTTTGGACATTCGAGTTGTCTGCAGGCAACGCTGCACAGTGGAACTGCCAAGAAGATACAACGACCTGACACAATGCCATCGCTGTCAAGAATTTGGACACACACAACGCTACTGCCACAAAGCTCCCAGATGTGTGCGTTGCGCCGGGAAACACGCATCCAAAGACTGCACCCGCGAAAAGGACCAGGCACCAACTTGTGTGCACTGTGAGTTACAGCACCCAGCCAACTATAAGGGCTGCCAAGTATACAAGCGGTTGCGCAAATTGCAATCCCCAGCACAAAAAAGGAGTCCCACACAAACACCGTCTACGGGTCCGAGTACTGCTTCCGAAATTACAAGGCCCCGGAGCATTACCCAAGCCACGAGCTTTGCAACGCCTATTAGTGGTGTTTCTTACGCACAGGCCGCTAGAGGTGGACCGTCAAATAAGAATACCACAAGTGACACTTTGTTCACTGAAATGCTTCAGCAACAACAACGTCAGTTTGACGCAATTAATGCCGAGCTCAAAGCGATGCGAGAAGTACAATCCCAACAAGCAACCATGCTAAACAGTTTAATGGCCATCATAACCAAGCTTGCCTACAAATAATGGCTTTACGTGTGGGTATCTGGAACGCCAATGGCCTGAGAAACAAGACTCAGGAACTGGCTGCGTTTCTCTCACAAGAAAACATAGATATAATGTTAATAACAGAAACTCATGAGTGCCCCACTACACAAATTTTCGGATACGAACACTATCAGGCTCATGGTGAAGGAGCAAACTGCTTTGGTGGATCCTCAATCCTCATACGAGCAACAATACCGCATACACCTTTACTGCCAATTTGCAACGCAACAATGCAGGTCTCAGCCATCACCCTGCCTACGTCTATTGGAGCGATCGAAGTTGCGTCAATTTATCTTCCGCCAAACACTGGTCTGTGTGATCATCACATGGAACAGGTTCTAGGCCAAAGGTTGAATAAGACCCTCATCGGCGGCGACTGGAATGGATGGCACCCATTTTGGGGAAGCAATAGTGCGAATCGTCGCGGAGAAGTCATATTTGAGGCGATTCAAAACTTACAATTCAGCATATTGGCGACTGGAGCCCCCACCCGTTACCCAATTAATGGACACAGGCCCTCGGCAATCGACTTCGCTGTCTACAAAGGCATCTGTGACCGGCAATTGACCATTGAAGAATCCTTGGACCTATCCTCTGACCACCTGCCACTAATAGTCACAATCCACGCGCAGCCACAGCCCTTGCCCATTAGGAAACAACTACTGCCAGCAGGATCAGATTTAGGAGTCTTTAGGCGCGAGCTCCATTACTCTTTGCACATAGAAATGGAACTTAACACTCCTGAAGACGTGGACTACGCAGCAAACAAACTGCAGGAAGAAATAGTCAAAGCTGCGCACCAAGCCGCCCCACCATCTTGCCAAACAAGACAACAGTCTCCGTACAACATCCCCCTCACCTTGGAGGCCCAACACCTACTAATACACAAAAGATGGGCCAGGAGACGCTGGTTAAGATTACGCACGCCTGATGCCAAATCCATGTACAACGAAGCCACGAGGCATCTTAAAGCTGCTCTCGCCCTGCTTCAAAAGAGGTGTATCAGCGATGCGCTGGTACGAGCTGAATCGCCCACTGACGCAGAGTTTCAATTATGGAAATTTACAAGAAAGCTCAAACGGCAGCCAATACGACGTCATCCCATTCGGAGCATTTCTGGTTCCTGGCACATTGGAGACGAAGCTCAAGCTGAGGCTTTTGCAAACCACCTTCAAGATCAATTCACGCCGGTGATTACCGCAGAGGCCTCAGAAATCGAAGCAACAGAAGACATCGTTCTCTCGCCCCTCCCAGCTGAAGACCAGATAACTGGATGTACAAAAGAAGAGGTTCTTGAACACATCAGAAGAGTGAAGGCAAAAAAATCCCCTGGATATGATCTAATAAACGGCAGAGTCCTTAGAGCACTGCCTGACTCCACCATAGACTACATAACTATGGTGTACAACGCCATGCTCCGCATCCGGCACTTTCCAGCCTGCTGGAAGCGCGCCGTGATTGTGATGATTCCTAAGCCTGGCAAACCCGTGGGAGAAATTGAGTCGTACAGACCAATTAGCCTGTTGCCAGTACTCTCCAAAATATTCGAAAGAATATTTCTGGAACGAGTACTGACACATCTGGGACGCCAGGAGGCCATTCCAAACCATCAGTTTGGCTTCAGGAGACAGCATGGAACACCGGAACAGGTTCACAGAGTTGTGCACCATATCCTTGGAGCCTTTGAAGAAAAGATGTACTGCTCTGCCGTCTTTTTAGACATCAAACAGGCGTTTGATCGAGTTTGGCACCTGGGACTGCTGCAGAAAGTGAGGACCACCCTTCCAGCCCCATTTTTCGCGTTGCTATCCTCATACCTTATTGGAAGAACCTTCCAAGTGTCAAGGGGGCAAACAGTATCCTTGACTAGACCAATTATGGCTGGAGTACCACAGGGTAGTGTTCTAGCCCCAACACTTTATACTTTATTCACAGGAGATATGCCAACTCCCGAGCCAAATATAGGAAGTACAGATGCAGTACTCATAGCGACCTATGCAGATGACACCGCCATCTTATCACGTCACGTATCTGCGCAAGAAGCTTCAGACTCACTACAAAAATATCTGGACTCTTTCGGACGCTGGGCAAAACGGTGGTGTATCACCATTAATGCACAAAAGTCTGTACATACTACCTTCGCCACTAGAAGAGGAGATTGCCCAAGCGTTGCATTGGGGCCCACTATTCCCAAAGCCTCAAAAGTAAAGTACCTTGGTATCACTCTTGACAGAAGGCTGACTTTTAAAGCGCACATAAGTCAAGTAACCTCAAAATGCAAAAGCAAGCTAAAAACCCTCGACTGGATGCTGAGAGCTTCAAGCAAGTTGTCTTACAGCAGCAAGGCCGCCATCTACAAGGCAATAGTTGTCCCAACCTTCGTATATGGTATCTCTCTATGGGGCTCCTCGGCGAAGACTACAAGGAACAAAATTCAGACCCTGCAGAATAAAGCACTACGCAGATGGACTGGAGCCAGCTGGTTTGTAAGAAACTCAGTCTTACATAGGGATTTAGCAATTCCCACAGTTGCTGAACTCATTGGGCGACACAGTTCAAGATACGCGGACAGACTTGCAGCGCATCCTAACCATCTCGCAAGCAACCTGGCTATAAACAACAATAGGCGAAGACTGAAGAGATTGCATCCTCTAGACAATATTAGAACTAATTAAGATAGTAGCTACAAGTGCAGAATAATTGGCATATCTGCCCTCCCATTAGTTAAGGTTTAGAGCTAAATGCGCTATAGAGTCTAAGACAATAAGCTGCAACAAAATAAAGAAATAAAAACGAAAAAAAAAAAAAAAAAAAAAAAAAAAAAAAAAAAAATTCACGAAATTCACGCAATTGCACCAGGCGGTTATCGCCGGCCTCTAGTGTATTTCTGTTTACCTATCGATATACCGATAGTTGTTTGTTATCAACGACAATTAAAACAGTGATGCTGAGACTTATATATTTAACTTAAGATTTTGGAAAACAGAATTTTGATTTGTTAATGTATAGTATAAAAAATCGCATTCGCTGCCGGAAACACAGTCGTAAAACTCAAATGGGTAATTATCGCACGCCTCCACTTTTATATTCTTAAGTTAACGATGCATCGATAATTGAGCTGTGTGATAACTGACTATCGGAAGACCATATTACAAATTTTATTTGAATTTTGCAATTAAATAAAATTATTTATAGCCTACTTTTAGGCTTTTATTTATTATTGATAATAAGAAGTAATCTAGCAAAAAAATGTGAACTAAATAGCATTTTGTTTCCAAATGATCAATTATTATTAAAAAATGCTTAAGTTTATATAAATTGTTAATTGCTGAAAATTTTGCACTCATGTTCCAATATTTTCCTTTATTAATTGGATAACATGTTCGATACATGACAGAGTAGAGTAGAATGGCAGATTATGGGAGAGAGAGCGCGATAGCGGTTAGCTTTGGGATACCCTTTGTTACGAACAATCTGCACAAAAAAAAAAAAACAATAAAATGAAAGTCTGCTTGCCAAAATTGGCAACTGGTCAAAGTCAATGCAATTGTCCAGATGTTGCCGCCGCCGTCGCTGTCACGCAAACGTCACTCGCAGCAACAGCAGCAGCAACAATTGACAAAACATGAGCCGAATGATGGTGACTTCGACTGCGGCGACGACTGAGCCTGCGCCTGTTTTCGCCTTATTCGCCTGCGCATCGATAATTTCTTGTGAAAAATCTCAGCTTCATGTTGACGTCTGTTTTGCTTGAATAATATCAAAGCAAAAAGGAACGCGGTTTGCCGAATGCCAGTACCAAATGCAGCAGCAAAGGCACCTTTGTATGTTTGTTGTTGTTGTTATTACTGTTTTTATACTCTGTTCACAAATTTAAGAAAAGAGTATGTTCGGTATATGGCTTGAGACTAGTTGCATACTTATCGATACTTCATTTTTGACAGATTTACAATTTACAGCAGATGAAATTATCATATATTAAGTTACAAGGAATCGATAAGAGTTGTCAATTGATGTATTTTGTTTCGTTGGCCCATCCTTAGTGATTTCGATTGTTCTGGCAGTTTTTCTTTGTCAAAAAGCGCGGTATGAAATGTTATTGATTGAAATGTGAAAATGTGAGCATTTAAATGCATACATGCATATCTATGTATGTATGTAAATAAATTAGCAATCTACAATTTCTTTAAACAAAATAAGTCTCCCCATCAGTTGGAAGTTAAAAATTTGTTTGTTTTTATTGAAATTATAAAAAGTGTTAAATTATGAGATTTTAAGTAGAAAATAATTCAAACGCTGTGTGAAAAAGTGTTGTAATATGTTGTTGGTGGCTAAGCGACATAGTTTATAGGTATGTGTGTAATTTGCGTGCATATGTGGGATGCACATGTATGTACATATGTATGTGTGCATTTTTATTTATGGCGTCAAATACATATGCACACACACATGCCAAAGCGCTGCTTGCGAATGAGCTGATCAAAGCAGGTAAGTGAGAACTCTGAATTGGACATACATACGTATTTAAAGCTGCCAAAAAGAGAGAAGTAATAAAGCAAAAAAGTACATGGTTTTTGAGTTGTGTGCGTGTGATTATGTCACAGCGAATTCGGTTACTTCTGTTGTGAAGAGACAATTAAGTTGGATACGCTTTTACTGTTGTGAAAAATTCCAATTGGAAGTTGTCAACAAAAATGAAGTATAAATGAACGTGTCATTTTCGCGGCGAATTCATTTTCCTATATGGATTGCTGCCGAGTGGCATGCCATCGTGCGTATGTTTCTTACGGCGAATTCATTTACTTATTTTGCAAAGAGAGTATGCGGCAGTTGGATTGGAGCGTAATACTGTAGCTTCGCTTAACCATACAACACCTGGGCTGTGCCCTCATAGACACACCTGAAGGAAAGCGAGATGCAGCACTCGATCATCTGGCTAAATAAACTGTCTGACCTTGACCCAGCTAAACGTCAGAGCTGACTAACAGTAAAGTCAGGTTCATTACGCGTTGCCTAGTAGACAAACCGGCCAGGTGAGGCAATGCCAAGCAGTGAACACACGCAGTGGTCGCTCCTCTTGATTGCCTTTAGAACTTGCCTCTTGCCTGTTGTCTGTTGACTCTTGCATCTTGGCTTTGATGGCAGTTGCTGCGTTTATTTACTCTTGGCCCGGTTAGCATGTGCAGCGTTTTACGTTTGGCTAACGATGCTTCGCTCAAAGCCCGTTGATTAGCGACCACCTGCAAATCACATTTACATTCAACGACGACGGCTTATTGCAGATGACGGCTGAACTCTTTGCTAAGCATCCAACTATACATATAAATCATATTGGTGATTAGCTAAATATATTTGTTAGATCTGTTGAAGGATTTGATTCATTTGCCAGCTGAAAGATGGAGAAACTGAAGATAAGCTATATGGAACTCCCCTAAGAAAGAGTATTGCTCTTCTCTTATAAACTCTTGGGAATTTAGACCTTTGAGTTTTGAATATATTTTTTAAGCTCTAAGCTGTCAATGACTATATTTATATAATCAATCTACTATTATTTCGCTACTCTGGACCCATTGAAAACGAGAGTTCAAGGCGAGAAACTTAGAATGATTGGAATATCAGTTCTTAGCAGGGTTCAGGGTATCTCCCCAGTTGGGCACTCCCGACTAGAGCACTCTTAATTGTTTAAAGTAGGTCTAAGATAATTCAGTCGATCAAATGACAAAATTCTGGCTCATCAGTCACGTTTATATTTCACATAAATATGATGCATAGATAATATTTGTTTAAGCGAACCCGATCCATTCCAGGAATTGGGCACACGAAAAAATAAAAAAGTGAAACTACAGTTATCTGTTTTACTTACTAAATTTACAAGCTATCCACATGACATTTTGGTAAGACGAACCGTCAGACAACGTCGCCGACGACAAATGGTAACTGTAATCGCCCCAAAAATGGTTACCAAGCCCTTAAAACCCTAAATGGGTACCACGTACCTGGGTAGATCATAATTTCATAGCCTGACCAATGCGTCGAGTGGCAGAGATACGAACAAGCTGTTATAGAACAACACGTATAAACAATTACATTAAATTTTCATTATATGCTTGATGCTTCAAGAAGCTATAGGCGAAGTCTGAACAGCTAAGCTCTGTCCAGTCGTCAGTCAGGTGGAACGTTGCACGTCGCACGTCGACTTTGTCTCCGATTTGGCGCTAACCAAAAACGTTTTCCATTTGGGGCTGGGTCTTTGCATTGCTTATGAAGCGAGTCAGGGGGCGGGGCCTCGATGGTTAATTGTAAATTTCCGGTTCACTGCAACTCATTTGCCTAACTGCAGCTACTTCAATGTAACTCACTCAATCAATCAGGCAGTCAGTAAGTCAGTGAGTCAATGAAATGCAGATGAAAATGAAAACCGGGCGAGTCAATGAAAAATTTTTGTATTTGCGTTAAGTAGGTTAAATGGCTCAATGCGGAAATCAAAAGCGCAAAAATTTTTAGAAAAAATAGAAAAAAATTCAAACTAGAAAAATACACAAAACTTAACTTGAGCTAAGTATGTGAAGGTCTTAATGAGTACTAATTAGAAAGCAGAGAACTAATTGAGATCTCAGCTAAAAATGGCAAAGATATAAATTTAAGTTCATATGTTCATACTCGTTCATGAAGTGTGAATGAGTATATTGGTTTTGTGCTCTGCTTGTGTTCTTGTCTTGCTAGAGTTTTGGATTTTGGAATTTATAAAAAACCCATTTGATATAGTGTTAAGAATTTATGGATAGGACTACTATAGTCATGGCAGATAAGCAAAATTCCCTTGACCATTGAAAGATGTTGTTAACAGTTTTTGAGCTGCTTTTGACCTCTTCTACTTTTATACCTTTAAGTCATGTGAACCTGACAAAACATAAAATATGAATTTTCTTTAAGAAAATATAACTTTTTTTGGTCTGTGAATGAGTATAACTTTTTATCTATATTTTTTCTCCTTACTCTTTCTATTCGGATATGATACACTCCCTTATTAAGATCTCTATAAGTTTTTTTTAACAATTCCAAACTATTTATTATATATTAGGTTGTTTTCATCGTTAACGAATGCATCGAAGGTCTTTGCTAGTTGCTTGTTATCATATCTGAAGTTATATCAATATTAAATATATCAATATTGATGGAAATTAAATTTAATCGCTTTGTCAGCAAAGTGTCAAAGAAAATAGCAACAAAAAAGAATAATGCAAGCTATAGAAGAATTTTGGTCATGTGATTAGATATATGTTGTGCAAGCGCCGGGTATGCCAGACTTTGAGTACCCGGCACGATCAGATATTAGATTATATATTAGAGGGACTCTGATTAAAGAAAAGTCTGTTGAAAATCTGTACAAATACATGAGTCTATTGTAAACACTTAAAGCAAACTTGAGTTTATGTCTAATTGATCTGGCATATGAAAATACAAAGAAACCAGGAAAACTGATACACACAGCTGACAGCTGTAGCTACCTCTTTGAAATTGGACACTAGGAAAAGGCAAAGTGCTATTGGTAAGCTCGCTAGGATAAAAATAAACTATTTGAAGAGAAAGAACTTGATCTCTTAAGGCTAATGAGTCAATAAAGTGTAGATGGATTTTAAAACTATGAAAGATACAGTTTTAATACCATTTTGGTCTAGGGTTGAGTAGATAATACAAAATTCAAGTGTCTTATACCTTCTGCTATATCAGATTTACTATGTCCCAAGATGCAAGATCTTAAAGCTCCATATGGAAATATATTCTAAATTTTAAGTCCCTCGCCTCACAAACGAACAAGACGCGTTATGCGCAAATCTAATATACTCTGTTCGCTTCGTGATCTGATCGTGATCTGTATTACGAGCAATGCAAATTGCATAACAATATTCTTCATAAGTTTGTTTATATATATACGATTACCCGATAATTGAAGGATAAAGTTTTGAA